GAATTAGGCATAAAATCCAAAGTAAAAAAACCAGTCACATTTGTACAAGTACTTAATTCACAGTCATTCAAAGAGATCGCTTTGGATCCAGAGAAAAACGTATTGGTACGATAATAATTTGATCATGTACAGCAGGGTACCGAATAATTGATTGTGAGAGCAGTTAATTGCCATTATTTGACCTCGATTAATTGATTGGTGGCGCAGCTACAATTGGTCAATTAATTGCAATTTTTGTCACATAATAACTTGCTGATCTTTGACGTCAAAAATTATAGTTAAAAAAATAAACTTATTATAAGGCCGCACAAATTTAATATCTTGGTTTTCATAACATGAAACTTTTAAAAAGCCTACCCGGTTATTAAAACATATAAAATTTTTTTTTTTACAAGATTTCAAATTTTGACCCGGGTTATGAAAACCAATTAATTAATTTTGCATGGCCTAATTAATATGTAAAAATTGCAATTATTTCACAATTAATTGTTTTGCATTTTCGGTACCCCTAATTTACATTAATTTGATTATCCATCTGAAAACTGCTTTTATATAATTCCAATTGTTTTGCTTTAAAGGTTGAATTTTATGCCCCTTGGTGTGGACATTGCAAGAATTTAGGTAGGGTTAATTATATAAGCTTGGACTACCATTGTCAGAATAATTAATATCTTTAATATCTTAGAAAATATACATTTATATTAATAGCTCCGATTTACGAAAAGGTCGCGCAAGATTATTCCCAAGAGCCAGACGTATGTTACAATAAAATTTTTCCCTAAGGGTGAAGACAAAACACCAATTAATTACGAAGGTGGAAGAACTGAAGGAGATTTTGTTAAGTTCTTGAATGAAAAATGTGGGAAGCAACGCCTTGTTGGTGGCTTATTATCAGAAGAGGTAAATATAATATATGCATTAATATGAATTATTTTATCTTTAATTAACTTTCTGTCATATAGGCTGGTAAAATCCCTGAATTGGAGGCTTTGGTAGTAAAATTCAATAATGCTCCTGGAAAAACAGAAATTAGCAAGATTATCGTAGAGTCACAAGCAATTGCTGATAAATTAAATACTCGGTTTGTAAAAAAAAAAATTAATTCACATTTCGTCCACAAACTGTTTTTAATAATACTTTGGAATGAATTTAGGCCGGCACAATATTACGTCAAAATCATGAATAAGATTGTGGAAAAAGATGATTATGCTGAAAACGAGATTGCCAGATTAGACAAAATAATCAAGTCTGGTACAATTTCTGGTAGTAAAATTGATGATTTCACGATTCGCAAGAACATTTTGTCAGGTTTCCATAAAGATGGTGATAAAGTAACTCATGAAGAATTGTAATTTACGAATTTACGTTTATTATTTAAATTAATACTGATTAAAGCTAGATATTTCGTGAATCCTATAATAGGCAATTTGTTATTTTATTTGTGTTACATGAATTTCGCGATTCAATTTGTGATCGACCAATTAGAACTTTAAATACACGTGATAATGATTAAAAACTACCGGTAACTTACAAATCACAGCCTTATAAAGTCGAGCACAAAACTTAATATTCGAGTGTTTCAACGACCATTCTATCAAAAGGAAACCTCATTTGTTATTTATCGTTATTGATAAAAAATTAGGTTTCAGTATTAGTTTTGTAAAGACAAATTTACAACAAAACCTTATTTGTTAATAAACGTTTATAAGTGCCATGGATGCCTTTTTATGGTTATTCCTTCTATCGATAACCATGTTTATTGGGTCATTTCTTTCAGGAAGTATCCCATTAGCATTTCACTTGTCTGAAGATAGATTACGAATAATTTCAGTGTTTGGTGTTGGTCTTTTAGTTGGTGCGGCACTGATCGTCATCATACCTGAAGGAATTGAACAATTGTATAAAGTACAACCGGACGATCAAAGCGGTATTCCACCTAGCAATGACTTTATAAGCATGGCCGACAACACTCTCGAAAAACGTAGCTGGTGGGACAATAAATTAAAACGTAGCGGATTAAGTTTAAATAGTATACCAGAAGAACGAGACCAAGATAATGAGCCACTAGACCCTCCTAATGGTAAAGATCCAAAAAATCCAGAGAAAGATCTCCCGGATATGGATCATGGCCATGGGAAAGAAAATATAAATCATCTTTATGTTGGTATTGCTTTAATAACAGGGTTTGCGATAATGTTTGTGATTGATCAAATAGATACCTCACATGGTCATTCTCATACTCGTGTTAGTGTTGTTAGTCTAACAGAGCTTCGTTCGTTATCAAATGGTAATGAGCGAGACGATGATTCACATGAGATATTGGGATCTTCAACTATACACAAGAAACCCGTATCTGCTACGATTGGTCTTGTAATACATGCCGCTGCTGATGGAATTGCCTTGGGCGCATCTGCAAAAGAACCAACATTAGAATTTATTGTGTTTTTGGCAATAATGCTTCATAAAGCACCAGCAGCCTTTGGATTAGCTACAGTTTTACTACGCGATGGATATACCCGTCGACAGATTCGAAAACACTTGATCATTTTTTCTTTGGCCGCACCATTTGCAGCATTATTAACATATGCATTCCTTCAAAGGAGTGGTGAATTAGATCCAAATGGAATGAAATGGTGGACTGCAATGTTATTACTCTTTTCAGGAGGTTCATTCTTATATGTGGCAATGCATGTAATGCAAGACGTTATAAAAGATCATAATAATAATCTTAATGGACACAATGTTGGCAAATTAACAAAATCGCATGTTGGCTTTGTATTGTTGGGAATGTTTCTACCATTGTTATTGCAATTCGAACATGGACACGGACATTGAGCTAAAAAATAAGTTGATGTTAGTAGCATCTCAAATAATTTCATAAGCTCTTTATATATAGAATAAGGAATCATTATACAATATTACCATGTTACAAATTTTGTATATATAATGTATCATTAGACAGACATGGGATGTCAAATTATGGTTGTAATTATAATACCATAATATAATAGTACTTTAAATAATAATAATCCTAAAGTGTAATTTTATATTTCGATGATTTGAATGTGAAATAAATCACTATATGACTCCCCATTATCATCGACTTTGAAAAAAAATTGTAATTACCATTATTTATTTAAATGTTCATCTAACTTTCAGATAGATTATTGGGAGGAATAACTTTAACGTCAAGCAGTACATAAATATGATAAAATGAAGTATAATAGCTATACTGTTTTACGATTGAATCCGTAAATTTCTATCACAAATTATTTGAGTCATTCTTTCACTACAGTCATCTGTTGTTCTTGCTTGGAAGTGCATGCTTGAAGTTGCAATTTTACTACTAAAGCTGTAATTTCGGTAGTGGAGGTCGATCAATCTAAACCTTGACATTTAGCTGAGTTGGCGTGTCGACTTTTTTCTATTTCATCACAAGCGAGTTGTGAAAAAAAAAAAATCCTATCTTAAGATGGATTATCAGCGACAAGCGTGGTTAAGTAGTAAGGAATTGGAAGATATTGCTAAAGTTGAATCATATTATATTACTAACATAAATCCGAGTTAAGTAACTGTGAAGAACTTACGGAAGTTGAATTATGTGAGTCTGTCAACATTTCGACAGTTGAGATAATGACTTCGAACCCACGCAAGATGTTTTATTTATTAGTGAAATAATTAATTTATCGAAATATTACCTGAAGATTTAGTAGATCAAACTGAAGAATTTATGGAAGATTAGTATAATTCTTTTTTTTTTTTCTATACATCATTAAATATGGGTTATGGTACATACATACGTACGTACATATATAATCATTTTATTATATTATTTTTTAAAATATTTTGTGATACATTAGATCACATAATGTCCAAATCAACCCTCCAATGTGCTAGTATATAAATATGACAAGCATAATAACCTACGATATTTGTTATAACCTACGGTGGTCATTACTACCTCAGTCATTTATTACGACATACGTTACATACTACAACCAACGACAATATATCATTGTGCTACAGCTGGTTGCGATGGCAATATAACAACTGTAACGTAATTGAGGTAGTATCGCCACAAAATGTCTGCACCTTTATTCTTGCTGGAATAAAGGTCCGAAAATTTCTTCAACATTTTCCACACCCACCCAACCACAGAGAGGAGTGTCTCCAAGAACATACTGTGTATGTTTGTTGAAGAATAATAATCCGTCAGGACGGAAACCAAAAGTATCAGGAATTGGGATCAATGAAGAGAGTTGTTCAATGTCACAAGTATAAGCGGTGAGTGGAGTAAATGTATAAGTTGATGTGTTCTGGGATGGAGCATCCATTTCAGCGAGTTTTGTATTTAGCCAATACAATCTAATGAATATAACAAAATGTTAGAATTATAATATTTACCTAAAACTCTTAATATGCAAGCCTAACCTAAACTCTGTATCACAATCATAAATTGGGTGTCCCTTCCAGCACATCATGTCTAACACATAATAAGTGAATGTTGTTTGGTCGTAAATGCAGTCCAGAATACAATAATCGGTTGTTTTGTTTCCTTTATAAGAACTAGAACCTGCAGGTAGAGGTGATTCAAACCTATTCATCTCGCATCCTTAAAACACAATGTTCGAATTAAACGAGTACTCGGAAAAATAATATTTACAATTAAAATTTTATAAATGATAATTTACCATTTCGCAATCGACTGACAGTTTTTCCTTATTTCAAAAACAATTAAAAAAATAATTAAAAAAAAAAAAAAAATTTTTTATAATTATCGGAAAATTCTGGGTTAATATATAATTTTACACACCTTTTGCCGATATAACGATACAACGTTTACCGATTGGACATACCACAACATACCAGTTTTCCTCTAGATCGAAGGGGATCTCGGACATTTGTTCAGCGTGCATAATTTGATTACTAAAACAAAGAGGAATCAGTTTTTTTAAAAAAAAATTAAAAAAATAAAGTGAATATACAAATTAAATTTCTATTTTACCTGTAGGGATTTTTTTTAAGTCTGCGAGCAGAGGCCCTAAATTTTCCTTTGTGTCTTGGTTTTTTCGATGAAACAAAAATATGATCAATATTTTCATTTTGTTCGTATTCTAATTTACGTTTTATAGGTCGATTAATCTTGATAGAATCTACTCTGTGATCAGTAACTAGATCTTCTATCTCTGAATCTTCATCTGACGATATTTCATTTGGTTTAAAGAGAGCAAGATTTCTTGCATGAGAAGTTAAATCTAGTCGTCGCTTTAATTTAAAAAGTTATGAGTTACTTTGCTGTTAATTTTCCGTAGGACACTGTAGAATTACCTTCTTCTGATCTTCTAGAGCTCGCATCCGCCTTTCTTCCTGTGACTCTTCTCTTTTTTTTAATTGTAATGGTGATGATTTGTAACTCCTTTGTCGAGACGATCCAGTTGTTGGGGAAACAAAATTAGTAGAAAATAGTTCAATCACTTCGTCGACTGTTGGCAAAGGTTGTGATGGCTCTTTTACCGCGGAAGCAGAAGCCTCATCGACTACGGGTGAATTCTCGGAATTTTCTTTGGCAGTTACAAAGTTTATAGTGGCGGTTTTGGTGTCGGGATCATGTTCGACGAAACTATTTTCATTCATGTTACGGTCCTTAAGGGCGTTAGCCATTATTTTTATAAAAATTTTAACACCGAATAAGTTATTTATTAGATAAGAATTATCAAGCATGTGATATAATCACGTGACTGATCAGTATATGTGATTTATGCTTTTCAAAAATTTGTTCTTCCTTCCTCATTTTTCCTCAATATCAAGTATGTAGCTGTATAAAGACTTAGAATTCATAAGCATTATAAAAAAAAAGAATTTGTAGTGTGGATCGATAAAATATATTGAGAATTCCAAAACCTATGGTCGATTTGATCAAAAAAAAAAAAAAAAAAATCATTTGATAAATTTTTTTTACGATTTTAATCACATTTTTTCCGAAAACAAAGTATGCAGATTTTTGTCAAGACGTTGACGGGTAAGACCATCACCCTTGAGGTGGAGTCAAGCGATACTATCGATGCTGTAAAGACTAAAATTCAAGATAAGGAAGGTAGGAAGTGTTAATCATGTCACTTGTTAAAAATTTACAATAAATTAAATTGAAAATTTGTTAACGAATTTGAATAGGAATTCCTCCTGATCAACAGCGGTTGATTTTTGCTGGCAAACAGGTTAGTGCATATTAAACATCATTTTATGATTCTAATATTTGATAAAATTAGATAATTCATAATTTATTGAATTAATTAGCTCGAGGATAATCGCACGCTCTCTGATTATAATATCCAAAAAGAATCCACTTTGCACTTGGTCCTTCGTTTGAGAGGCGGAGCAAAGAAACGAAAGAAGAAGACATATACTACACCAAAAAAGATTAAGCATAAAAGAAAGAAGGTCAAGTTGGCGGTGCTCAAATATTATAAGGTTGACGAAAACGGTAAAATTACACGACTCCGCAGGTAATACAATATATCTAAAAGTTTTCATTTAATTTTTTAATCATAATTTTCGTATTTATAGAGAATGTCCAAATGCATCGTGTGGTGCTGGTATTTTCATGGCATGGCATTATGATCGTCAGTATTGTGGAAAGGTAATGAAACCTTAATTTAAAAATCAACCCTCAACACGGTATTGTTATTAACAATTTTTATTACGTTTAAGTGCGGTCTTACATATGTTTTCAAAAAAGAAGAGGCCGAGGCTTAAAGTAGGGATGGTATGGGTTTGATTTTGATTTTAAAACCTTTAGATTCCAAGTTAAAAACCTAAGAATCAGGTTTTTATATAATAAGTTTCAAACCCAAGTTAAAACCTGGTTCGGATAAGAACCAAATTTTAAAAGCTGGTTTTTAATATTTGTAAGACATAAAAGAATCATTTGGTTTGTCGAGATTGCAACGATCGCTTTTCATTTTGAAAATAAATTACTAAATCAATTATGATCCTAATCATGATGAATGGACAATATCACATGATTTTCGAAACTTTTTTGGGTGGCGATTT